GCTGCAAGTGAGAGAGGCCAATATCCTCTGTGGATGACTCATTCCTCTTGTGGTTTTTTTGGAGGATGGGTTCCTGAGGAAATGAAAACATGTCAGTGTCTTTTTTTTCCTCTCACTTCCTTACACAACACACTGTTCTGCTGCATAGACACACTGGTGCATCAATCTGTGGCTCCTCTCTGTGCCAGGCTATGTGTGCTGCCTGATCTTCTGTACCACAGAGGCAATGGATTGTGACAGAAGTGGTGTCATGGCATGCCAGCTGCTGTTTCTAATGTGTTATGCACGACCAAGGAGGATGAAAATACCCACGAGATGGACAGAGATTGAAATGGGAGTAAGGGTGAGAAATGGAAGAGCGGCCACGTGCTGTTCCAGCAAAGTGATGACAGCCAAGTGATGTTTGTTTCAGTGGAAGAGCATTGAAAACACCATGTGGTGCATGGACTTGCAAGACCATGAGAAACCAAACTGAGGAAGTCAAGTGGTGGTTGGTTTCAGCCACTTCATAACTCATAACTCGTGGTGCCCTGCTTTCCAGATGGCACAGAATTCACTGAGAGCCTGACAGCTGGTAGGAGTAGCGAGGTCCCACCTCCTCCAAGCCTCCTTGAGGTGAGGATGAAGAACACACCTAGGGGCTGGGGCCACTGGAGCAGTATCCAAAAGGAGTGATGCACTGCGGTGGCAAATTCCATGAAATGATGTGAATTCTTCTGGCCAGCTAAGCTGAAGAATTAAAGAAGGTTTTACCTGCAATATGCTGACAGATCAGTACCCAGGCGTCCCAGTTCTCTCCCTTTATCCCTCGGCTACGCTGGGATTGCAGAGCTCTGGCCTCTTAGAAGGAGCTGTTTTGCCATAGAGGTTTTCCTGCCCTCTGGTGTAGTGAACCCATCGAGTCCTTGGCTTTCTGGTCCTAACGTGCTGGACACGAAAGGGGCTGACACATGCTGAGCTTTTCTGATGTTCTATGTTTTTAAATGCTTTTGAGACTTCTGCTCAAAAATGCTCTGCTTTGATCTCCATTTAATTTCCTTAAAATTGTCACTGGAGCTGTTGATATCTCTGACACATGTCAAGCGCATCCTTTTCTCTGCTCTTTCTCCTCTACTATGCAGTACATACAGAGATATATAAAAGATAAAGGGTTCAGCTCAGCACTTCACTAACCTCCTCCACATTTCTTTGAGCACTCGTTCCATTTATTTTTTTTATAATTAAAAAAAAATATTGCATAGCATAGTGCATCTAACTGAACATATAATTGTTACATGTAGAGTTTACCCAGAGAATTAATACGATCTCAATCTGTCTTCCTCAGGCAGCATATAACCACGCAATCTACTTGTTCTTTGCTGCTTTTTTTTTCTTCTTCTTCTCCCCAATCCTTGTAGCAAGTCTTCCATCTTGTCTAGACGTTTCTGACATACCATTGCCTGATCTTCAGCAGCTGCAGCAGTTCTCCATATACCTCAACAGGTGTATAAACAGGTCCGGCATCTCAACACACAAGTCCTAACTCCAATGTGCCAGCATTGGGCAAAGACCACAGCTATTCCTACCCCTTTCAGCCACATCTTTCGCCTCAATAGGGGGCATTTTAATTTATTATTATTTTTTTTTTATATTAGGACTCACTCGTAAGGGGAAAACAACCACAGTGACCAAAATTGTCTGTGATTGATGATCACAAGCTCTGGATGCTACAGTAATTGCTGTTAATAGGTAGGTATGATCAGAATTTTTCCACTTCAGTAGGATTGAATAGGAAAAGTAGGGCTGCCACCTTTTTTTCCTACTTTTTTTTAGGAAAAAAAAAAAAAAGATGGTATTTCCATCCAAAACCTCTTTGTAAATGGAAAGATGGCTGTGAGACTTCTCGGAAACTGTGGCTCGCCTGCTTTGCCTTTCCACTGCCTCTCTTACCAGCCTGCATCCTCCATTATTACAGCACAGCTGGAGCTCTGTAAACCACCTGCCCAGTATGGGAAGAGCTGAGACAATACACCATCATGTTGGCTGACCAAATATTCTCCCCAAATTCCCACTGAGTACTGCAGCAGTATTTCGAGCTCCCAGCAGAAGCCTGGACAGCGTGCTACTACTGGAACAGCTCCATTTTCTGCCAGCAAAAAGCCCTCTTCCCATCCCCGGCCTGAATGGTAACAGTCCTTCAGCTAACAGAGACAAAGTAGCCTGAGTCTGGCAGAAATCTCCTTTCCTAGTTTGTGCACTGCTTATACTGGGGCAGAGAAAGAGAACGAAAAATTATTTGCAGTCATGTCTTCAAAAAGCATAAACAAGATTACCTTGGTGCAAGTTCACATCCCATCAGCTCTAGCTTTTTGCCAGCTATCTAGCAAACACGTTCCAAGGCAGGAATGTTTGCTGAAACAATATATTGCATTTTTTAGACGTTTGTACAAAGTAGAATTGAAATACGTAGCGGTGAGTATTTACCTCTCCAACCTGAACATCAAAACTGCCCTAATCCACTTGAAGATTAGAAACATACCAGGGTGCTGATGTGTCCAAAAGGCAAAACTTTAGATCCCAGCAACAGATTTGAAGATTGTGCATACACACTCTGAACGCCCCAAGTACCTTGCAGAGCAACTGCAAAGCCGTGGGGCACTCCAGAGAGGAGGAAATAGCTGCAAAGAGTGTTTTGTTGAACCCAGGGTTCCTCAAAGGCAATACACCTCACTCCCATCTTTGACCACGCTGCTCCGCTGCCTTTGCAGGGCTGTGCCCCGACCTGGCAGAAAGCAGGGATTGCTCTTTTCTGGTCTTTGGGATGTGGTCAACGGAGCCCAAGGCCACTGAGTGAGTCAGAACTACCCTGCGCTTCCTCGTCTCGCCAGCCACTGATACTTGCAATCAATCCATTTACAAATCCAACCTCTGTCACCAATAATAATAATAATAAAACTTGAAAAATACATATTGTAGATATGCTTTTGTTTCTCCTTTTTTAAAAAGAACTATTATTATTATTATTTTTTTTTTTTGATCCTTCACAGACTGCATTTAACAGGTTCTTTCAGCCACTACAAAGTGTCTTGAAAAAACGACAATTCCTTGATCCAGGACTTGTCAATGAAAATCAACATTATGTTGCAGCAGAGTAATGTAACCTTGGTACACATTGCATTTGCAGCCCTCGTGAAGAAACAAATTGCTTCTCCGTGGCTATCCATGAGAAACTGAAGTAGCTAGAGATGAGCAGGCTGTACATCTATGTCTGCCACAGCACTTCTCTCTGGAGCCCAATGCAGAGTACATCAGCCCTGGGTGCCAGGAGACCTAGCTGCTTGACTCTGACACTGACTCATTTGTTGACTGGTAAGTCATTGGAAATGACTTATTTTTATCCCCCTGCAGATGCTGTGAGGGTTACCCTGCCAGTAGAAAAGTTTCCTACAAGCCATGTCTGAAACTGGCAACAAATACTGTATCAGCACTCCTGATGAGCCCAGCTCTTCTCATACCATTTCACAGAGCTAATGGGAGCTGATGGAATCTTATCAAAGCAGGACCCAAAAACTCCAGTGGCTCAAAGCAACACATGGATAAGCCAAGTGAGAAGCCAGACCAGATGAACAAAGGAAAAAAAACCAATATGGTTTATCACCATTTGCTTCACATCAACAACCAGCAAGTACCACTACCAGCCCATTGACAGTGGCCAAGGCTATGCCACGATGCCTGGGCAGCAGGGCCCTGAGCTGCTACTATACCATTTGGAAGTGCTCTATTTTCCCAATAATATTCTCTGTTACTCCCTTAACTGGCAGCCCCGATCTGCCAGATCATTAATGAGAAATTAACAAAGAGTGTCAGGCTAATAGAGAAGTAGTAATGAAGATTAATCTCACCCCAGAGAGGATAACAGGCCTTTTTGGAGACCTTGTGCACCACAACAGCATTTGGAGGGTCAAAAATAGGGCAATAAATGTTGATTAATAGCAAACTTCTCTTTTGTTCCTTAATTATGAGTAGTACCTAGGGATTTCAAATAAGCCTCTCATTCCACTCTAGCTACTGCTTTCCCAAGCCGGGACAAAAATATGATGGCAAATGTGAGCACAAGTCTCTCAAAGCGAACCAACAGAGCCAGAGAGACTAGGACTACCTAGTTTTTATTGCCTGCTAGCAGCTGCACATCTCTTTCTGAAGATGAGCTGGATGAGCTTCTGTATGCACCTGGAGTGAGGTAAGACCTTAAATGAGCAACTCCTGCACCTTGGGCCAGACCAGGTTCGTCTAACAAACTCCTGGCACCCTCTGGGTTAACCCTTTGGAGTTAATTCTCCCATGGTGCAAATCCTCACTGCATCTCTTCTTGACAAAGGCTGCTACGTGCACGGATATTACTACTGGCCCAGAGTTCCTGAAAGCTGAAGCAGCAAGGCAAGACCATGCATCACCACAGAGCCTTGCTATTTGGGAACGTGACTGAGTTCCCAAGCCTGCTGCTCACTTCCCTTGTAGTCTTTTGTCACTTCAGCCCCTTCACTTCAATTCCTCACCCACCACATGAAAGCACTTTAGTAGCTGAGATCACAGTATCCCACATAACGCTACCACCCCTGGTGCTCGTTTACCATGCTACCTCATGCAACCTCCTTCAAGACATAACTGTGGCAACAGCCTTCACACACATCTAATGAGGATGCTACCACTCTCCCTTCATCTGTCCTATATAAATCCATAGGAAAAGAAAAAAAAAAGGCAAAAAATACCCCTAGACCATTCCTACACTGGACGAAAAAGCACCAAGTTTTGCTGCTCTAGGTGATCCATAAAGCAGTAAGCAATTAGGATTCCTGTCTTGCCTGGCTGGAGCCCAAATGGAAGCAAATCCTCTGCAGGCAGGAGAGTCCTTCCAGCTCCACAGTCCCACAGAGGGGAAACATACTGAGCCTAAAGAAAATCAATGACTTTGCATTTGCTGTATTCAGAGAAGTGTCTGGCAAAGAAGTTGCCCTACTTACCACAAAAGCAGCAACAGTGCCACTGCCACAGCAGGGGACAGACCAACTCCAGGCCTTGTTTCAGATCTTGTTTTCCTAATTGGAGCAGGCTGTGCTGCCAGCAAGAAAACAGGATTCTTCACAAGAGCAGAGGTACGTATCTCCCACTGCATTTTCAAAGGTGAGACAACAGCTCCATGGCAGCGTTTAACTCTTGCCCAGTTCACATCCACAGCACTAGTCCGTGCTCTCTCGCTAGGAAAGATATAAAGGGGGAAATCAGTCAGCTGCAAAGATGGGTAGTGGCTGCTGCAATCAAGGACTCAGCTGCATGTTCTGCAAAGAAGTGCCTGGGTTGAGCACTTTGAATGTGCTGCTTATCTTTCAGTAATGCCAGGCAACTTTACCAAGGGATAAGCAAGTTAGTTTGCATATCAGTGGAGCAAAAGGAAGCCATCCTAATTCTAAATTCTTAATTCTGAACTCTTGCATAGGACTAATTGCCTGCTAAGCATTTCAAGGGGAAGCCGTGCCATTTCTATTGCATTTACATGTCCTCTCAAAATGGTGTTGGCAAAGACTCTGGATCAGATGCCACCTCTTCCAACATCCAAGAGAACATCAGCAGGACCTGGTTCAGGCCAAAGTCATAGGTGCCCAACCATTTGGCTTGGCTGGGCCACCCTGAGTGGATAGGAATTGCTTGGGCCACATGTAAAAAAATAGTTAATGCAGGAATGGCGTGGGCCACATATAAAATAAATAGTTAATATACATAAGTAACAATTTTAATGCATTTATTTATTTATTTGTTGTTGTTGTTATTCAAACATCTAAAGACGAGGGCAGCAAAAACATAAAAGTAACATACTGGACACATATGGTCTAGAGGCGTTCTGTCCCTCTGCAAGGAGCATGCTGCCCAGGCACCCACTGGAAATGCTGCTCCCTCAGCTTCTGAATAAAACTCCTTAGACATTCTGTTAAGCTGAGCATTTAAAGGAAAGATGCACCCACCTCCCATCGACAGCAGAAGGACACGAGGCACCTAATTCTGGTAAACTCATTTGAAAGCCTTACATTTCAGGAGGAATTCCCCCACAGTTCAGGAGGAAACGGTTACTGACACGATACTTCACACAGACTGTCACAAATCCATGGCGCCAGGTGGGATCCACCTGAGGGTACTGAGGGAGCTGCCAGAAGCGATTGCAAGCTGCTTTCCATCATTTAGCAGCAGTCATGGCCAACAGGGGAGGTCCCAGACCACCAGAGATTTGCCAGTGTGCCACCCACCTACAAGTGGGATCAGAAGGAGAATCCAGGGAACTACAGGCCTGTCAGTCTGACCTCAGTGCTGGGAAGGTCAGGGAGCAAATTGTTTTGAGTGCAATCACTCAGCGTGTGCAGGAAAGCAGGAGCTCAGGCCAAGCCAACAAAAGTTCATGAAAGGCAGGTCCTGGTGACCAAGCTGATCACCTTCTATGACCAGGTGATCCACCTGGTGGATCTGGGAAAGGCTGTGGATGAGATCTACCTAGACGTCAGTGAAGCTTTTAACTACCTTCCACAGTACTGTCCTAGAGAAACAGGCAGCCCGTGGCTTGCAGAGGTGAACTCTTCACTGGGTGAAAAACTGTCTGGAGGGCTGACTCAGAGAGTGGCGGTGAATAGAGCTAAACCTAGTTGGTGACTGCTCACAAGTGGTGCTCCTCAGGGGTTGGTATTGGTGCCTGTCCTGCATCTTTATTGATGATCTGGATGAGGGGGTTGAGTGCATCCTCAGTAAGTTTGCAGTAGACACCAGTTTGGGGGAAGTGTACATCTGCTTGATGTTGGGAAGGCCCTCCAGAGGGATCTGGACTGGCTGGATCAGTAGGTCGCACCTCAAGTACTGTGTTCAGTTTTGGGCCACTTCACTACAAGAAAGACATTCATGCCCTGGAAAATGTCCAGAGAAGGGCAACGAAGCTGGTAAGGGGTCTAGAGCACAAGTCTTATGAGGAGCAGCTGGGGGAACTAGCATTGTTCAGTCTGGAGAAGAGGAGGCTCAGGGGAGACCTCATCATTCTCTACAACTTCCTGAAGGGAGGTTGTGGTGAGGTGGGCAGTCAGCCTCTTCTCCCATTATCTAGCAGTAAGACAAGAGGGAACAGCCTCCGGTTGTGCCAGGGGAGATTCAGGGCATAAGGAAATACTTCCCCGAGAGAGCGGTCAGGCACTGTATCGGGCTGTCCAGGTGGTGGAGGTGATGGAGTCACCATGCCTGGAGGTGTTCAAGAAATGTTTAAAAGTTGTGCTGAGGGTTATGGCTTAGTGGGAAATATTGGTGATAATACTGAAATATTGGGAAATACTGGTGATGTGTGGACAGTTGGACTGCTTGATCTCAGAGGTCTTTTCCAACCTTGGTGATTCTATGATTCTGTGATTCTAGGCTGAGACCAATGGGGTGAGATTCAATCAAGTGTCAGGTCCCACACTTTGTTCACAACAACCCCAGGCAATGCTACAGGCTCGAGGCAAAGAAGAGAAGAAAGTCAATGATATCCTGACTTGTATCAGAAATAGTGTACCCAGCACGAGCAGGGAGGTGATCATCCTCCTGTATGCAGCTGAGTGAGGCTGCACCTCAAGTGCTGTGTTCACTTTTGGACCCCTCACTATAAGAAGGACATTGAGGCCCTGGAGCAAGTTCTGAGAAGAGCAACAAAGCTGGTGAAGAATTGGAGCATAAGTCCTATGAGGAGAGGCTGAGGGAACTGGGACTGTTTAATCTGCAGAAGAGGAAGCTCAGGGGAGACCTCTCTATAATTCATAGATATCACTCTGTATAATTCCCTGAAGGGAGGTTGTAGCAAGGTGGAGGTTAGTCTCTTGTCCAGGTAACTAGCAATAGGACAACAGAGAATGGCCTAAAGTTGTGCTAGGGAGGTTCAGGTTGGATATATGGAAGAGTTTCTTCTCAGAAATGGTGGTGAGTTATTGGAACAGGTTTCTCGGGGAGGTGGTGGAGTCACATCCCTGGAGGTCTTCAAGAACCATGTAGATGTGGCAGTGAGGGACATGGTTTAGTGGGCATGGTGGTGATAGGACGGTGGTTGCACTAGATGATCATAATGGTCTTTCCCAACCTTAATGATTGTATGGCTCTATTATTTCAAAGTTCTGCTCTAATTAGCCAAGTAATTGCCTGTCATGTCTGTGCTCTTAAGCAACTGGCACAGAGCTAACTTAACACTGATTCACCTTCTGACTCAGAGTCATTTATTTGCACAGTTTCCACCACTGGGAGTTGAAATAATGAGACATGTTTTCCATACGTTCACAGGATAATTCATAAACTATGAAGAATATATGACTTCATGTCCATCTATGCCAGGCTTTCCTAGCTTCACGACCAAATAAAAGCAAACCAGATCTATTGTCAGTTCTAGGTGTGCTTAAATAAGCTTGGGGATATATTAATGCAGGCACATTCTCTTTTTCCCAATTTTTAAGACAAATTCCAGCACTGAGAGAGCTCTGAAGGCTGGAAGGATCAAAGACAAAGCCATTCCTCTACTACAGAATTAGTCCCTCCTTGCCTCCTTCGGATGGTGTCTCCTCTCTGTGCAGGAGCAGCCATTTAGGGGGCTGGAAAACCCTCCTGGCTCTGTGATTCTTTTCTAGCTTTGACTTCCACGCTATGTTTGCCCAGCAGCTGGCGGCAACTGAAATATGGTGACAGTGCTGCCCAGCACACAGCACCACAATGCTCTCATCAGGGTCAGTGCAAGCTACCTCCAGCTGCAGCAAGAGCCTCTGAGCCTTTCACATTTATTCCCTCTCGTACTGTCCAAACTGCATCCCAGTGGCCTCATCTCCCACAGCCCATGGAGGTTCCTTTCCTTCAGCATTTTCATCCTCCAAGTGGGATGCCTGACTAAATTAAAAAGCTGCCTGGTACTGCAGTGCTGTAGCAGTACAGGAGCTTCTTACAGCTTCTTCCACCTCGTGCCCTCAGGTCCATTCCTTAACATCAGCTCTCTGCCATTTCGAAGGGGAGTGCAGCATGGCCACCAGTCTGATGTGGAAGTCAGGCTCAGCTCAGTGAGGCTTGGCCTGGGCCACCCCACCAACGATCGTTTTTAAGATATGCAACTGAACAGAATATGCAACAATTAGTGAAATAAGTATTAATCTGATTAAAAACTACCCAAGCTGAACAGAGCTAAAAAATAAACGAAACTCAGGTACAATCCTAATGAACAATTACTTACTAACAATTCTTAGCGGATCCTTAAAATGGAAAGAATCGTGCTGAAATAAAATTAAAGATAGTTAACAACAAAAATGTTTGTCAAGAAAAAAAATCAAATAGGGCCTTGTAAGGATTTGTTCATGATGTGCACTGGTTGACTGTGATCTCTTCCCCTCTGCTGGCTTGCACTGTGCATTAGTATTTTGTTTTCCATATTATGTAGGTTGATCTGAATGTAATGCCTTCTGTTTATTTCCATGGAAATGACAACAGATGCAAAGAGAACAATAGTGCCATTTAGTAGAGCAAATTTTCAGCTACAAAACACTATTTTTTAACAAAGTCACCACCATTAGCTGTGCATTTTCACCAGCAATGACAAGAGTCTGCAAACCACGCTCATGCAAACCAGAGGAGGTGATCCATTGTTTCACATCTGGTTTGATGGCATTGTTACTAGGAAAATGATGCCCACGCAGTCTATCTTTCATTGGCCCAAACAGATGGCAGTTGGAAATTGCCAAATCCAGGCTATATAGTGGGCATGGCAGGGTTGGCAATGTGCTCCATGGTCTTCAAACTACTATGGGGCCCGGTGTTATTGTGTTGCAAAAGAAATGTTGTCTTCTTCTCTACTCTGGGTGTTCAAACCTTCAGCTTAGTCTGCACTGCAATGTAGTGGTTAGGACAGATGGTTTGTTCAGGTTCCAGAAAATTCAGAAAGATCACCCTTCTCCTATCCCCATAGACAGCACACATCTCTTTACTCACTGAGAGCTGCATCTTTAACTTTGTCTTCGAGGAGGAATTCATATGGACTGCTGTTCTGACTCCAGCCCATATTGGTGATTCTGCATCTTGCCACTGGTAAAGATGCAATCAAGCAAACTGTCACTTTCAGCCTTGCATTGGCTCAACAGGTCCTTACAGATGTGCATGTAGTGTTCTTTCTGTTCCGGTGTGAGCATTTGTGGGACCCATCTGGTGCAAACTTTGCAATACTCCAACATTG